CTTCTATTTGTCCCCAGATACAGTGCCTGTCCTGTAATAACAATGAAAAATAAATCAGTGTCATCACTAAGTTGAGATGTGAAATGATTGACCCTGTTAGTGTAGCCTACATTAAATTGAAGGGGAAATGGGGCTTGCTGGCACAATTTTCATTCTTTGTTCTCTGATGTAGCAAATGAAAGCTTAAGTCCTTGGGTATAAAACAGACACTTTAATTGCTTCATAATATTGCCTAAATTCTATTAATGACTAAAGTTATGTTACATCTATGGTAAAATTATGCACAGTGAAATATGAATCATTTTCAAACTGTAGTACCACCACTCAACGCATTACTGATACACTTATTTGTATAATGAATTTATGATATAGACGATTTGTATAATTAATTTATGATATCTGATTAATTGTACAATATTTTGTAGTGTTTTAACACTTTGAATTTAAATTAAGTTGACACCAAACATATTTAAGGTTGGAGCAGTCTTTACATGAAAACGTTTTCAACTAAAAACTTTATGCGTTCTGGCTGTTCATTTACACGACAGTTGCGTTTTGGAAAATGCAAGTATTTGAAAACGGGTTTCAAAGTGTAATTAAATAAAGATACACTTATCGTGTCCATGCAAACTACAAAAGCAAGAATTATGCGCAGGCGCGTAGTGTTTGTTTCTATTGCCAACTACAGGACTGGCGACAAAGCTTCATAAAGCTCCATAAAGCTTCTGGTTTTTAGTACATTGTTGTCGCATAAACGTGCCTTTTGTTTTCCATATACTATAAGTGAATCTTTTCAGTTACTGAAATATTTCACCTTTTAAATAGAAACGCGCAAAATCTCGCAAAATCTGTGGTAACCATAGCAACATGCGGCTTCTGGTTCGCTCGTTTCCGTTACGATCATTTCATCCACAAGAATAAATGCTGTGATTTGTTTATCACTAGTACATTTACATTCCCTAAATATATAATCAGAATTAATCTAGTTGATGTGTGTGTACCTGCGCTGTAACAACAACTGATTTCGCCTGTGGTAGGGTCAATGTTAGTGTAGCCTACATTAAATTGAAGGGGAAATGGGGCTTGCTGGCACAATTTTCATTCTTTGTTCTCTGATGTAGCAAATGAAAGCTTAAGTCCTTGGGTATAAAACAGACACTTTAATTGCTTCATAATATTGCCTAAATTCTATTAATGACTAAAGTTATGTTACATCTATGGTAAAATTATGCACAGTGAAATATTAATCATTTTCAAACTGTAGTACCACCACTCAACGCATTACTGATACACTTATTTGTATAATGAATTTATGATATAGACGATTTGTATAATTAATTTATGATATCTGATTAATTGTACAATATTTTGTAGTGTTTTAACACTGAATTTAATTTAAGTTGACACCAAACTTATTTAAGGTATGAGCAGTCTTTACATGAAAACGTTTTCAACTAAAAACTTTATGCGTTCTGGCTGTTCATTTACACGACAGTTGCGTTTTGGAAAATGCAAGTATTTGAAAACGGGTTTCAAAGTGTAATTAAATAAAGATACACTTATCGTATCCATGCAAACTACAAAAGCAAGAATTATGCGCAGGCGCGTAGTGTTTGTTTCTATTGCCAACTACAGGACTGGCGACAAAGCTTCATAAAGCTCCATAAAGCTTCTGTTTTTTAGTACATTGTTGTCGCATAAACGTGCCTTTTGTTTTCCATATACTATAAGTGAATCTTTTCAGTTACTGAAATATTTCACCTTTTAAATAGAAACGCGCAAAATCTCGCTAAATCTGTGGTAACCATAGCAACAGGCGGCTTCTGGTTCGCTCGTTTCCGTTACGATCATTTCATCCACAAGAATAAATGCTGTGATTTGTTTATCACTAGTACATTTACATTCCCTAAATATATAATCAGAATTAATCTAGTTGATGTGTGTGTACCTGCGCTGTAACAACAACTGATTTCATTTCAGAAGAAAGTCATATGATGTTCGCATGACATCAGTAAATGATGATTGATCTTTAATATATGAGTAAACTATTCCATCCCTAATTGGTAGAAATATTGTAAATCTTTGAAATGAAGAGAACAAAATGATTTCACCAATCCTGTTGACAAATTATTGGATCATGTGAACCTTCAGTTTTGCGGCTTGACAGAAATCATGTAAATCTTTGACAATTGCGGGATCAGCTGGATGAGGATTCAATTAGGAATGATGCTGATGTTCTAATTAGTTTGGTATCATAAATCACACTTACAGAATGGGAACGAGCTATGTGGCAATGCATTATCTCTGATTCATAGTCAGTTTCAGGGCAGCTGTTTTTAGCGCTTGGAATTTGCTATGCTGTGCTTTTTTCTCATGGGTGGATCCCTCATAAAGAGAGGTATTCCCCAAGGACACAGGCCTCCAGTGCAGTCTGCAGATCATGGCGGGTTATGCTCCTGCCTTTAAAAGCTAACCGGCTCACAATCTGGGCTTGGTGGTCTCATTTTCATCATGTCTAAAATGTGTAAATGCTTGTTTTGTAGTATTTTCTGCATCCATGTCTTTAGAGAACAGTCAAGACGAATGTCTTTGCCATTTGCTTGAAAATAAAATGCTGTTGTGTGGGAAACTAAATTAGTACTCATTATCATCAGCATCGCTGCTCGTTTGTCAGTCTCAGGCTGAAAATTAATTGTAATGAACTTTGAAGCGCAATGTTCTCATCGAGTTTTTACGTGAGCCTCTATGAGTGTGATAAGAGCTCATCTCTATGATTTAGAAGTGGTGAAGAAATGAAAAAGCAGCAGAATTACTCAGCATTTCATCCACAGCACTGCTGCCATGCTTTCCGTCTCTCTCTCTCTCTGCTTTCATTGTATCCTTTATTAATGTAACAGAAGGAAGGGCTTTTTCAATTTGCAAAAAAATTTAAATGTCACATTGAAGCTTAGGATGTGATGACCTTTTGGTAATTATGCGAATGATGCTTTGTTTAATTAACCCATTTCTGTGACAGTAACGCACACACTATGTGTGACAGCCATCTAGGGGGAAAAGTGTTAGGGGCCGCTCTTATAGGCATGTGGGCAGGATAAAACACTGCTCGTCCTCCAAAGGAACAGACAAATTTGTAATAATAATTATAAGCTGAAATAGGGGATGCTCTTATGCCTATTGAAATATTATTTACTGACACAGTCTATTCTGGAACGTTCTTTAGGCGCCTTATCATTTTTATCTGTGCTAAGACTACTGTATGAACGGCTTTGTGTTAATGAAAATGATGGAATCTTTCAAGAAAAACACTCCACCAGAGGCCTTACTGGTGGTCTCAGACTTTTGGTGTGTTTGTCCCACTGATCTAAGCCTCCTTTAAATGTAATCAGCCAGCATGAAATGATATAATCCACAATCACTCACTCAGGCCATCATAATTATTCAAGTGCACAGCTTGCTTAGTTTTATTTTAGCCATGATATTAATTATGAAATGAGTATTCCCGCTTGTAACGTATCTTTAGTATATTAGTGTTTGTGCGCTTAGCCAAAATCACTTAATGTCCCAATTTCTCAAATTCAATTCAATTTAGTACTGTGACAGTATATATATATATATATGTATATGTGTGTGTGTGTGTGTGTGTGTGTGTGTGTGTGTGTGTGTTTGTGTATATGTGACCCTGGACCACAAAACCAGTCTTAAGTCGCTGGGGTATATTTGTAGCAATAGCCAAAAAAACATTGTATGGGTCAAAATTGTTGATTTTTCTTTTATGCCGATTTTTCTTTTTTAATTCGTTAGGATATTAGGTAAAGAGCATGTTCCATAAAGATATTTTGTAAATTTTCTACTGTAAATATATTAAAACTTAATTTTTGATTAGTAATATGCATTGCTAAGAACTTCATTTGGACAACTTTAAAGGCGATTTTCTCAATATTTTGTTTTTTTTTGCACCCTCAGATTACAGATTTTCAAATAGCTTTATCTCTGCCAATTGTCCTATCCTAACAAACCATACATCAATGTAAAGCTTATTTATTCAGGTTTCAGATTATGTATAAATCTCAATTTTGAAAAATTGACCCTTATGACTGGTTTTGTGGTCCATGGTCACACACACACACACACACACATATATACTGCATAGGATATTTAAGATAAAGAAAAAAAACTTGGATCCAAACTTAGCTAGAGAAAGACTCCTTCTTGAGCTCGCCCTTATTTAAACAAACGTATGGTCCATTCTGTGAAACGGGTTCCTTTTCACATTTGATTTTGAAGGTGATTATGAACGGGGTTCTGTATGAATTTTATATGGTTTAAATATTCTGTCTGTGTTTATAAATATAAAAGTGTTTATATTTATACTATTCTGTTCAAAAGTTTGGGGTCAGTAAATATTTTGTCTTTTTTGAGAGAAATGTATAATTTATTCAGTAAGGATGGTTTAAATTGATCAAAAGTGACAGAAAAAACATTGTTTTTCAAAATACTGTTTTTTTATTTTTTTCTATTCATCAAAGAATCCTGAAAAGGGTATCACAGTTTCCAAAAAAATATTAAGCAGCACAACTGCTTTCAACATTGATAAAAATAAATGTTTTTGAGCACCAAATCAGCATATTAGAATTATTTCTAAAGGATCATGTGACAGAAGACTGGAGTAATGGCCACTGAAAATTAAACTTTGCCATCACAGAAATAAATGACATCTTAACATATATTAAAATAGAAAATATTTATTTTAAATTGCAATAATATTTCACAACGTTACAGTTCTTACTGCATTTTGACCATAAATGCTGCCTTGGTCAGCATAAGAAACTTAAAAAATCCTACCAACCCCAAACTTTTGAATGGTATATGGGAGGGACACAAATGGCCTCAGTCTTGTAAAACAACCTTTATACATTTTATACAATTCATGCAGTTAAAATGAACTACAGCACAGCTCCAGGCAGAGTGAGATCATAGCTGTTTTGATTTCTGTGCCTTGCAGACACCATGGGGAAACAGAACAGCAAGCTGACCCCTGAGGTAATGGAGGACCTGGTGAAGAACACAGAATTTAATGAACATGAACTCAAACAGTGGTACAAAGGCTTCCTGAAGGACTGCCCCAGTGGCCGACTCAACCTGGACGAGTTCCAGCAGCTGTATATTAAGGTAGGGATGCTAGTCGCTCTGTGATACATTTCCCTACATGTGCTGGCTTTTCGTTGGTCTTGTTCCAGTCTGAAGAGTTCACTGAGGAGTGCATCACCTTGTAATTTTAAAGTGACTGGAAGAGCCTTCTGAATCATTCAGTTGGATAGCCTGATGTATAACTGGCACCAAACTGAATTCAGGTCTCCAGGGCTACGCTAGCTGTCTATTCAAATGGCTGGATTTTATGGCATGTCAAGCACGAACAGTTACTGTCACGACAGGTTTTACTCTCTTTAGTAGTTTAGTCTTTTAGATTTGTTAGGATATATATTACAGTTTTGACTGTTTGGCAAGGAAACCTTTTGCTGCAGATAACACTTTGTCTGCTGAGTGTATCTACTGTACAGCCTTGCAGTTCCAATTATAACATTACACTAGCTGCTGCATAATATGAATATGAATTATGTAAAGACATTATGCAAGATCATTTCTACTAACAGCCAGAGTAAATAACCACAGGTCTCACAGCTCTGCTCAGAAACCACAATGCTTTCAGATTGGCTAGAAAGATAGAGAAATAACAGAAAGCTGCTGTAGGCAAAACCTTTAAGTGATCTGGGATGTCGGTTTTTACAGCAAAAATATATCAATTAGATAGTTTTATTTAAATCCAAGAAATAGATGACCTCGCATTAGCAGGGCACTGAGTTCCTGCGGACTGGACTGAAACTGAATGAGTGTTTATGTGTGTGTGTGCTAAAACTTACTCTGCTTGTTGCATAGGAATACTGGGAGGAGGTGTTTTGTGATTGGCCTTTTTTCAGTGATGAATCATCCTACTTGCTTTTTAATTGAATTAATGTGACATGAGTTTTTTTTGTTTAGTTTATTTTTGTTTTTTGTACACGCTGCAGAATTACTGTTATTTTTTTTATCTGTGTAGCATTACTCAATGTACTATATAAAAAAATTATAATGAACAAATTAATAGTTAAGACATTTCTCATAACTATAGACATATTAAAAAAAACCAAAAACGAATAAAAATGACACATACAAAATGAATTATACTTTAACTAAAATTTACATGGAAGCAGAAAATATAAAAATAAAATCTAATTCAAAATATTAACAAAAACTACAATAGTATCTCAATGATACTAAAATAACACTGATATATAGTATAGTATGTGATCTATATATATATATATATATAATCTAAAATATGGCTAAAATAATAATATAAAAATAATGTATTAGAATAATAATTGTATATATCATTTAATGTTTATATATATATATATATATATATATAATTTAATTGTATGTAATTATATAACATAATATATCATTATTTAAATAGTAATTTCTGAAAGTATAATATAGTATATATTTATTATAATATTTTATATTTTTATTTACATTATTAGCATGAACCAATAACTGTACCTGTTAGGCAAATGTTTTCAGATATTTTATTTAGAATGAACACTATTTGCAAAACATTTATATGGATAAAAATTATGGCAGCCTTTTTCCTTACCATTTATCATTTTTAAGGTATTTGACATGCTATCTTTGTACCAGTATAGTTTTTTTAATAGATGTGGGCAATAATCTGAGCTCCTCTATATAGGGTTAGAGGGAATAATTTGAGCCCATAAATGAGCATGATTTAAATGGGCAAAGCTTGGTAGACTGCTAGCATTGTCTTTTGTTCTGTTTTTGTGGAAGCCATATTGGTTGCTAAATTTAGCATCTTTTCAATGATTCATGCTTTTTCAATAATAGGTTGCCAGACTAGACTAGGGATGAGATCAGTTCTATGGATAAATGAACTGCTCTCTGTATTATCTGTTTTTTTACACTGTTTTGTACAGTGACTATTTTTTAGATGTATTGTTTTTATGTGATTTCAGTGATTGTATGATAATTATACATAATTCATAAATTTATAATGATAAATATTATAATTTCAACTCATATCAGTATTGCATATCCATACTTATTCAGTAAGTAGCCATGAAATAATAGGATAACAACCAGCCAGCTGGACATTATCGCAAAATAAACCCTTTAAGGGTGACACAAGACCCCTCCAACTCATGGCAGGGTTTATTGGTTGACTGCATAGGTTTACTGGGCTTGAATGGCTGTACATTATCCCTTATGGAATAGAACCTGGAGTCGTGAAAATGGCTGACTATTTAAAGAGACAATATGTGGCAAAGTTCCCATTGTATTCTTAGCATTTTACTCCATGGCAAAATACCTCAGTGCATATCCCTCAGGCTCCAAAAATGCCACACTAGCTACAGTATATTATTAACCTTAAGGATGCAACGCCTCTGTGATTAATCTGCCAGTAGTATCCAGAAGTGATGGCTGTACATGGTGTCAGTAAAGTGATCGCTTTGTCTTCTGGGGTTTGATTGTTTGCTGCGGTTTCAGATGTTAATACCGTGACAACAGTAATGAGGTGCTGTGTAATGTACTTTAGGTTTGTGCTGAATGAAGCACTTCAATAGTGCATGTTCAAATCTAATTGGCAGTTAAAGAGATGACATACAATGTGATGAGGTGGTTGGTTGGACACAAAAATGTGACAGTAAAGCCTCGTTCACACAGAGATTCTGGAAAATACAAGGATAATATGTTATTTGTCCCGGGATCATTTGATTTTGGTTCATTCACACTGCCAGTGATTTTCCAGAATCTGTGCGTGCGTTTCACGTGACATTACGATGTGACGTGTAATGTGATGTGTACCGTTCCACTATGCTGGTGAACAATCTCGGCTTCAGCACAGATAGTGAGGAGCTCCCTGATCAATGCTTCATTCCAGTTTGCACATATTTTTTCGTTGTGAATGTTGATCTGCCTTCAAAACACCCTGTAAAAGAGTTGCTCGATAACGTGTGTCAGCACTATACGACACATCCTTTACGGCATTGGTCCTGCCTTTTGTTCACACAGGGCTCATTCCGGGACTGATCCCGGCAATGCTACTAGGTCCCCATCCTAGGTCTAGGTCGTGTTTACGTTCACACAGAAGGCCTGTGTGAAAGGGGCTTAAATCTCTTGAGTAGAAGGGGGGTGGGGGTATTAGCTTTACCAGAGGATTCCAACATGCTCCTGTTTGACACCAGTTTATTACATCACCCTCACCAAACAGAGAGCTGTGATGGATCGAACAACGGCCCTGATCTGAATTCACATCACACGAATGTGGAATGACAGGGTGACGTCTGGTTTGTGGCTCTGGTGTGGCATAGACAATGATGTGGCTAGACTTCTTAAAGTCAAAAAGGCTGGGCTAATGTGAAAATTTCTGTGAAGGTTTCTTCATCACATGAATGTATATGCTAATGTATTTCTGAAAATTTACAAAATTATAAAAATCTAACACTGTTACAAATCTAAAAGATTCTATTTGTTAACATTATATCTGTTAATATTATTTAATGGACTTTTAACTAAAAATGAACAGTTTTATTTTTATTAACTAATCAAAAAATAACCAAAAAATAGTTGTCTTTCAGCAAATTAACTGATTAATTGATTAATTCATTGTAATTATTGGTATAATTAATTTAATTGTAATAATAGGTATTACTTAAAATTGTAATAATCAGTTTTGTTTTAATACATTATTTTGTATTTATTTTTTAGTTTTAATTGTAATTCTTTCAAATAAAGTAATTAAATAATAATTTTAAAATAACAGGGACAATCTCTTGCAAAGTTCTGCCAAACTTTCGTTTTATATAGGAAATGCATCAACACAAGTACAAAAAACTGCTCATCAAGGCATTTGATGGATTTTAAGTTATTTTATGTTTGTCTGTCACTGCCCTCTTCTGTCGATCAACCACACAGTCAAACACACAGTCAAACACACACACACACACACATACACACACACACACACACACAGGTTTGCTTTTGTGAAAAGTGGGGACATCCCATAGGTGTAATGGTTTTTATACTGTACAGACCGTATATTCTATTGCCCTACACCAACCCTACCCCTAAACCTACCCCTTACAGGAAATTTTGTGCTATTTCAGATTTTCAATACACTCCATTCTGTGTGATTTATAAGCATTTTGAAAAGTGGGGACATGGGGTAATGTCCTGAAAAGTCACCTTCTCCTTGTAATACCTATGTCATACCTTTGTCATTATTGAAATTTATGTCCTCATTTGTCACAAAAACGCGCACACACAAAAACGCGCGCGCACACACACACACACACACACATACACACTCACACACACACACACACTGTCTGTTACAGTAGGCATATCATTGAAGTTGATTTCCAATTGACTTCCGATTTTCTAAAATTAGCTCACTTTCATTTTCAAAACTCATTCAAAACATGCATAGGCTGTCTGGGCCTGTTTCTTTTTGCACTTGCTTTGTGTGTACAAAGATATCAAAAGAATAAAAGCAGGCTTCTAGAGTTTCTAGTGCTTAATTTCTATCACAAAGACAACATCACTTTTAATAGCATGTTACTTTAACTGTGTCATGGGAATTTTTCATCCCTTCTTGACTTTAATTAGATTTTCTGTCGAATATAGACCTAAATACTCAGTACAGAAAATTCATTCATGTGGTCAAGGCTACACACCAGAACGAGAGGAAATTCTGATTCTCCTTTTTTTAACCATGGCATTACTAATGCTCTTCTGTCATAGAAGTTGGTGTTATGATGTTTTTGCTGTAAAATCAGATTACACGCAGTAACAAAGTGAAACAGACCAAAAGGATCCTTAATGTCAGATGGTGAGATGTGGCAGGTGAGGCTGAACGACTTTCCATGTGTGTTTAAGTACAGTAGCAGAAGTGTCGGAATGCAGTAATGAATGTCCTACGTACTCTGGATTTATTGAAGTATCCATTTTGTTTAATAATAGCTTTGTGGAGAAGATGGAGGACCTCGCTGTCACACAAGGTTGTCTTGGAGAAGGAGACAAATTGCCTCCCTGCGATCAATAGGACACCATCT